TTTTTTTTTTTTTTTTTTTTTTTTTTTTTTTTTTTTTTTTTGGGGTGGTTTGGTTTGGGACTTATGGAGGTATTTAGACTTTTATATTCTTTTTTATTTTGTTTTATATGTTTTTATTTATTTTTATTTATTTTTATATATTCGTATTTATTTTTATTTGTTTTTATTTATTAATTTGTAGATATACACTGGATTATACACTGGATATACAGGTATATACACAGCTGCCTATACACCTGAAACAGGGTACATAGAAAGAGGAATTTTTGTGGTGTTTTGTGTTAAATATATAAATAAATTATTTTTTTTTATTTTTAATTAATTTTATTTAATATTAATTTATTAATTTATTTATATTTTGTTGATAGAGAGGTAGATGGGGGGCCCCTACAGCTGCCTATACACCTGAAATATTAATTAAAGATATAAATAAATAAATACAAAATTAATAAATAAATAACAAACTAAATGAATAAATAAATAAATAAATAAATAAATTAAATAAATTAAATAAATTAAATAAATTAAACAACTAAATAAATAGAGGATTTATCAGTGAAGTATGTCTCCCCCGTACCTAGCTAAATACCTCAAAAAAACCAGAAAAAAAAGCAAACAAAACCAAAAAAAACAAAACAAACAAAATAAAAATATATATATATATATATACACATATATATAAATATATAAATATATATATATGTATATGTATACAGGCTCTAGAGGATTTATCAGTGAAGTACGACTACACCGTAAGAACAAGCGAAGGCCAGGTGGTGCAGTTTGTGTATGGTGACGACGGGCTGAGCCCTTTGCTTATGGAGGAGAAAACAAAACCAGCAGACTTACAAAAAGTTTTTTTGCATGTTTCTACGCTCATTAAAATACCCTTTCTACCGAATAGTATATCCCCGCAGCAACTTATAAGAAACAGCAGCAGCAGCAGCGGATGCAGCAGCAGCAGCTGTGGTTGTCGCTCTGCTGGTGATAACAGCAGCAGCAGCAGCAGCAGCAGCAGTGATACCACCAGCAGCAGCAGCAGCAGCAGCAGCAGCAGCAGTGATAGCACCAGCAGCAGCAGCAGCAGCAGTGATACCACCAGCAGCAGCAGCAGCAGCAGCAGCAGCAGCAGCAGCAGCAGTAGCAGTGATAGCAGCAGCAGCAGCAGCAGCAGCAGCAGGTTGTTGGATACCGACTGTGACGTTATTTTGCCTCCTTGCTCTCCCTCTTCTTCTCGGGGTCTTCGTTCTCTTCTCGCGCAAGTTGAAGCTGCTGATGCTGAAGCTGCTGGAGAAACACACACCAGTATTATAAACCCTAAACCCTAAACCCTAAACCCTAAACCCTAAACCCTAATATATATATATATATATATATATAGATCATATACTGCTGATGCTGAAGCTGCAGGAGAAACACACACCAGTATTATAAACCCTAAACCCTAAACCCTAAATCCTAAACCCTGCTGATGCTGAAGCTGCAGGAGAAACACACACAAGTATTATAAACCCTAAACCCTAAACCCTAAACCCTAAACCCTAAACAGTAAAGAGTAAAGAGTAGACTATATATATTATATACAGCTGATGCTGAAGCTGCAGGAGAAACACACAACAGTAATATAAACCCTAAACCCTAAACCCTAAACCCTAAATATTAGATACCATATACAGCAGATGCAGAAGCAGCACGAGAAACAAACACAGGTAAAACACAGAAACAATAAATAAATAAAATAAAATAAAACGAGTACAATAGCTAGAACAAATAAAACAAAAGATAAAAAAATAAAAAAAAATAAAAAAAATAAAAAATAAAAAAATAAATAAAATTTGTGTTCAGTGGAGGCGAGCGAAGAAGGCCGCGAGATATGGCGGGGGCTGCCTCCCCCCTGCAGACACAAGCTTTGTCTCATCAGGAGATGGAGACAGCAGCAGCAGCAGCAGCAGCAGCAGCAGCAGCAGCAGCAGCAGCAGCAGCAGGTGCAGCAGCAACAGCAGCAGCAGCAGGTGCAGGAGCAGCAGGTGCAGGAGAAAAGAGAGAGAAGCAAGGAGAATAAAGAAGAGACTGAGGAGATATATAAAAATATGGATAGTTTAGTATTACAATCTTATAATTATATATTATGTTATTTATCTATTTATATTTATATAAAAAAAGAAAAAAAAAACCTACCTCTTCTCCCATACGAAATAATAAAGTGGAGTGAATATATTTTATTTTTATTAGGGGACGGGCTTATACAGCAGCTGTACATACACCAGAAACTAGCAATAGAGGAGACAGCAACACACCAAAAGGAGACAGAAAAAGTTAAAATATTTAAATATGAATTGCTGCAGTTTCTTATACACAAAGCACACCAAGTTGAGGTGTATAGACACCACGCAGGGGAACCACCGGCACTCACAGAAACAGAATATCATTCACTTATTTATAAATGGAGACAACATAAATACACCACTGCTAGGAGATGCTGGAACATCAGAGAAACGCATGCAGCAGCAACAACAGCAACAGCAGCAACAACAACAGCAGCAGCAGGAGTACCAGCAGCAGGAGCAGCAGCAGCAGCAGCGGGATCACCAGCAGCAGGAGCACCACCACAACCACCAGCAGCAGCAGCACCACCAGCATCAGCAGCAGCAGCAGCAGCAGGAGCAGCAGGAACATCCCCGGGAGTGTATGCATGCAAGTACAGCCGTCACGAGTGGGTGACAGTGCGTCATTTGTTTGAGTTTGTGCGAAGCAGTTTACAAAAATATATTAAAGCTGTTGCTGAACCGGGGGAGGCGGTGGGGGCGATGGGGGCGCAGTCTATAGGGGAGCCAGGCACCCAGATGACCCTAAAGACCTTTCATTTCGCCGGTATTCTCTCCTTTTTTTCTCTTTTTTTTGTTTGTTTTTGTTTATTTTTGTGTTTTTATTGTTTTGTTTTGTGTTTTTTGTGTTTATTTTTGTGTTTTTTGTGTTTATTTTGGGGGGTTGGGCGTTTATTTCGGGTTTTGTTTTGTTTGTTTTGTTGTTTTGGTTGGTGAGGAACACCCAGATGACCCTTAAAACCTTTCATTTCGCCGGTATTTTCCTCCTTTTTTCTCTTTTTTTTGTTTATTTTTGTTTATTTTTGTGTTTTTATTGTTTTGTTTTGTGTTTTTATTGTTTATTTTGGGGGTTTGGGCGTTTATTTGGGGGGTTTAGGCGTTTATTTTAGGGTTTAGGGTTTAGGGTTTGTTGTTTTGGTTGGTGAGGAACACACAAATGACACTCAAAACCTTCCTTCATTTCGCCGGTATTTTATCGCTTTTTTCTCCTTTTTTTGTTTATTTTTGTTTTTTTTTTGTGTTGTTTTTGTTTTGTTTTATGTTTTTATTGTTTATTTTGGGGCTTTTGGTGTTTTATTGGGGGGTTGGGCGTTTATTTCGGGTTT